AGGAAATTCAGAGGAAAAATTTATTTGGAAGTTAGAACTAGGAAAACTAGATCTAAGTATACTGAAGTAAAATGACCTTGGGGCAACTCAATTAAATGATCATAATAAATTAGAAGAGTTATTTAATTATCACTTTATTTTGCATTTAGTTGATATGTATTTCTTTAAAAAGGCTTTTTTTTTTCTTGTGTATACTTGAGAGAATGAATAATTGGAGATCCAGAGAGATAATTAAAAGTAAGATGGTGATTATATATTTTTTAAAACATATCCTATGTTTTTTCCTGTGCTAAACAATTGATGAGAAATGTATTGGAAAATTCTGGTAAAATTTCTGAATTAAAAAGTCAAAAGACAAATTGTCCAAACTTTCTAGACAGAGTTACTACAATGAAAAAAAAAAAATGCTTCTGGCATCAACATCCCACTGCTGTCCATAAAGTTGGGATAAAAAATGATGGCATAATATCATTGCTAAGAAAAATGGGATACAACTTAAGCATCTGATAAATAATTTATCTGACAAGGTTTAAAAGATATTTTGGATAAAGGGGAAGGATTGAGATGAAATATTAACCATACATCCCAACTGGAGAAAATACTAAAGAATTGTTCCTATCAAAAAATAAATAACACCCTGCCCTCAGAATGGAAAATATGAAAGGGACCGAGAACTGTGAGCACCAAACCTTTCAATGTGCAATTACCACCACACATGAACATGCTCCTGGTCACATTCACAGCTACAGGATACATGACAGGCTGCTTGGAATGATGTGAATGAATCCTACACACACATTCATGCCCACTAATCCAGATATATGTATAAATATAGATATAGATTCTTGAAGTTCAGAAAAGTATAATACAATACAATATATGACCAATGCTTCTTTCTTCAGGAATAGCAGTATATACAGAAATGAAGCTTGATTATATTAAAAAAAAAATACTTCCACAGAATTAGTATAATTGCTTACAATAAATGTCTGTCTGAGATTTTTTTTCTGTTACCTTAGCTTGTAGCACTCATGACAGGCTTTAACCAGAAAAGCAAGTTTTGCTGGCTCTCTTTTTGCTCAACAGCTAAGATTTTACTTGATCTGTGTGTTTTTTAGTACTTCAGCCTTACAAGTGTATTTTCCCATTTTATTTCTTCTTAACATTCTCTCAAATGAGAGAATGTATACACATGAAAAAATATCTTTCTTTAAGAAATATGTGTTGTTTAAATGCAGAATAAAGTGATCATTAAATAACTTTTCTAATTTATTATAATCATTTAATGAGTTGTCCTAAGGTCATTTCACTTCTATATACTTAAGAATCTACTTGAAATTCAATGTGCAAAAAGTTCTTTGAAGACTCATAATTACCTCACCATAATAGGTATATTATGTTACAGTAGGATATTTGTTAAGATTGTAAGAACATATAATAATAACATTATATAAACATCATGTCCCTTGTTTCAGTTGCTTTTTAGAAGTTTATTTTTCCTTGCTAGCATTTACTTTTGCAATACTAAGATCACTGAACAGTTTTGTAAGCCTAAGTAGCTCTCAATGCATTTACCAGAAGTCTCAAAGTTAGAATAGTTTTCTCAAAGATAGGGCTCATTCCCAAGTCAGAAGGAATAAGTATACAAAATATTTGCCTTTTAATAATAGTAAGATGTAAATAATATATTAATATGACTTTTAATAGGAAGAAGAAAGGTGAGAGCTATAATAATATTCAATATAATAACATTCAAGAAATTCACTCCATGAGTTTGTAAGGGAGACAAAACTCTACCCCTCCTTCTTAGGTCTGTTGTTAAATTGGCTTTGGACAGATTAGTAGAAAAGAATACACATTTTAATATATATTAGAGGTCCCATAAGAAAATGAAGACGCAAAAAACAGATAGGCCAAAGTGCTTATATGGTAGTTTGAAAATGATTGGTAACTTGAAAAGTAACTAAAAAGTATGGAGAGACTAAAGAAACATAAGAGTTTATTATAATAAGATTCACATTGACAGATTTTCTCAGGTTTGATTCCCCATCTATGGTAATTTTATTTTCCCTGGTATAGCTTTTACAAGGGAGTTTTCTCTCTTCTCTAAGGAAGTAAAAGGGAAATGAGTGCTTTCTTGTATCTGTTGTTTTTCAAGTACCTTTAGTTCAAAATAATCTTCATGCCAAAGAGGCATATTTTGGGGTCGCATATTCTGCCACTCTCAAGTAGAAGCTTCATAGTATGTTGTTTAGTGAAAATGAGGACATGTTTAGTAACCTTGACATTCAGTGTACCTTACTGGTGTGATTTGGCAGTCAACTATGCAAGTGAATTTTGAGCTTGAGCTATTACAAGTAACCTTTAATGACAAAGTGAGTGTTGTGTACTTCTCAGACCACAACTTAAGAGCAACACAATTTAAAAATGGTTTCAACAGTCAAACTTACCCCAGAAGGGTGGCAATAGGACCAGTTGTATTCTTATTATAACATATATTGTATGCATCCTATGCAATAGAAATTAAGACAAGAATGAAATACACTGCCCATCAGGAACTTTCCATGGTCATAGGAGAGAGACAGACAGTGATCCTGTTACTAATGTACCCAATTAGGCTGCCTGGCAGTATGGTTAAGCTCCTTGGCTTCTGATCTCATATGCTTCCATTCAAAAGTCCACTCCCAGTGCTTATTAGCCTGGTAGCAAAAGGTAAGTCATTAAACCCTGTTCTAAATCCTCGCTCTATATATATGATAACAAGAGCCCTTTATCTTTCTCAGCATCTAGTATGTATGCATTGGATAATATATCCACTCAAAACTATCTATTATTACATATATATTATTACATATGAATAGAACTGACGTGCCCTCCACCAGCTCAAATATTTATGTGCTCCACAATGTCCATTATAGTACTATTTATAGTAAGTAATACATGGAACAACCCAAGTGGCCGCTGGTAGAGAATTGGGTTAAGATACAGTACTTGCACACAAGGGATGCTATTCAGCCATGAAGATGAAATGTTGTCATTTACAGCAAAATGGAAGAAGTTTGAGGGAATTATACATAGGGTCACCAGTAGGACCAGTAGGAATGATGACAAATTGGACATATGCTTAGAAGCTATTTCAACAAATCAAAATACTTATAAAACCCAGTAGACACTAATAAACAAAATGAGGTTTCTGAGGTTAAGAGGGAAGGGAAAGGGAGAAAGGGTCAAAAAGGTATAAAGGATGGTGGTGGAGAAAAAATTAAGTTAAAAATCAAATTCAAATCAAATTAAAGATTGTTCCCTGATGGACCTCCCCTGGTGGCGCAGCAGTTGAGCGCTGGGTTGCGTGGCTGCCCACAGCCTCTGCAGCACCAGTTCGATCCCCGGCCACCGGCGAGGGTTCCCCCCCCCAAAAAAAAAAAAGATTGTTCCCTGAGTTAAACTACAATATCAGGACAGAATGCATCAAAGTTGACTTAAATTCAATTCAGTAAAGTAGAATAGTATCATGACTCCCATTTACCTGTTTCTTAATGTAAAAGATATTAGCAGCCCAGTGAGAAAAGGGTTACTACAAGTATGAATCCAAATTCCCCTACTTGAGCAATTTTAATTTACTAAAATCTTATGTGTCTGCCTTTAGGTTGGAATAAGAGAATTCATGATGACTGTGAGGATTAAATAATAACCCCTATAAATTCCTTAGAACAATATCCAACCTAAGGAACTCATATGTAGATTATTTGTAGCTGTTTTATGGTTTTCAGAAAAAGGAGTGTCAACAAGCCCAAGTCCCATGGCCAAGTGGGAGGGACCCTGCAGCAGTGACGCCAAGTGTCCCCACACTGATGTGGTTTCCTTTCCTCTGTACAAGACTGACACATTTAAACCATGAAATCTACAACTAACCTTGTTCAATTTTGTGCCCACTGAGCAAGTGTGGTGTCACCTAATCCTGGGAATGAATGAATGCTCTATTCTCCTGTGTCAATATCTGTTCCTCTAGGTCTCACAATCACCAATCTTTGTCAGCTTGGGGTGAGAGCAGGGGCTTGAATGGAGGAGGCAAGTCTTCCTTTATGGCAAGGGGACAGAGGACAGAGACCATCTTCGTGAAGAAGAGGAAAGGAAGGGCACTGTGGACTTCCCACAGGGCACTTTGGTTGGGTTAGGGAAATGGCCTCTCTAAGGCTTTCTGAGAACAGACTACAGTGTAAATTGGGAGATAACTGCAGAGGGGACCCCTGAGCAGCAGTTGTCCCCAAACCCAGCCTACATTCCACAGTAACTGCCTAGACTAATGGCCAGGAATCCTGGTAAAAATACTTTAATGCTCCACCGTGGACTATTACCCAGCATTCAAAAAAGATAAACACATGCAATTTGCAGCAACATGGATGGAGCTGGAAGGGATCATGCTCAGCACAATAAGCCAGAAAGAAAAAGAAAAATATCGGATAGTCTCACTCATAGCAGGAATCTAGAAAACTTAAATAAGGGACCAGGAAAAAGAATAACTATAAGAAAGAAAATATCAAAATCAACAAACAATTATGAACCAGAGACACACTGTGGGGGGTGGGGGGCGGGGGAAGGAGGGATTGGGGTCAAAATAAGGGGGTTGTAATTGTATGGGGAATATAAAAATAAAATTTAAAATAAAAAAATCATTTATCTACAAAAAAATAAAATTCAAGGGCTGAAAAAAAAAAAAAAAAACTTTAATGCTCACTTGAAAAATGAAGCACAAGCATATGTATTTTACTCATTTGCACCCATGACTGAACCTAAGCTTGTTTGCTTACATGCAAATTAGCACCTGCAGGTCATTTGCCAGACCCCACAGTAGCTGGCTCTGGCTGTCTTTCCCTAGGAAGAAAGGTCAAAGGATTGGAAGGGACATTTACTTCATGGTTGCCATGAAGGTGCTGGGTAGGCCTGCGTCCTTGCCCTTGGTCCCTGCACCCTGACTTTGTGGCCCTCCTCTGTTCCCGCAGAGTCCTCCAGCACTGACCCGGACACGCGGCTGGCGGGCGCGCGCGGCTTCACCGGCTGCCTGTCGGCGGTGCGCTTTGGGCCGGCTGTTCCGCTGAAGGCGGCGCTGCGCCCGGAAAGTCCAGGGCGGGTCACAGTCCGCGGACACGTGGTCTCAGCTTCCCGCTGTGCCGAGGGACCAGGGCCTGGCGCCCCAGCGCGGGAGGCTACCCGGCCGCTGGCGGCTGGCTCAGGTGCGTGCACCTCAGCCTGAGGTCACCCTCGCTGCCCGCGGTCTTCCGCCCTGACTCCATCCTGGTGGCTCCAAATGCCTGTTGGTTAACCTCCCCGTCCTCTGTTCTTCATTGCATGTTCACTCTTAACATTGCAACTGTTCGCACCTCTTTCAAATGTTTGTGCATTTCTCAAATGTCCTCCTGTCCACTCTCTTTGTTATTCTCCCTTTTTCTGCTGTAGGTCGTTCTGGACCGACAGATGAGGGACAGCCCTTAGTTAATGCGAACAGAAGTGATTCCGCGGTAATCGGAGGTAAAGGCAGGGCCGCCAGGGACCTCCTCCCTGCTTTGCTGTACTAGCTGACACACTCCAAACAATAGCTGTGAGAATCTGCGCTGATTGGCGAGATCAATGACAGGCCAGAGATAATTTAACAAATTCAACTCCTTTGGAGACAGGGAGTGCAATGAATTGTTGGTTGCAGTGAAATATTTTTAAAGAATAGTTACTGGTCTAGAATAATAAGATTATTATTTGAAAACAGTCATCTGTATTTCAGTGTGTGTGTATATATGTATATACATACACAGGTATATAATCTCAGAAATACTGACATATTTATATATGCTTCAATTCAAAGTAGCCATAAACCTTTCAGTCCTTTACCTCAAAACATTTAAAAATAAGATGACAGGGCCTCCCCGGTGGCGCAGCGGTTGAGCGCTGGGTTACGAAGATGCCCGCGGCCTCTGCAGTGCCGGTTCGATCCCCGGCTTCTCCCCGGCCACCGGAGGAGGATCCCACATGGAGCGCAGACCTCTCCTGCCGCCCGCTGCTCCCCTCAGCAGTGTATTTCATCAGCCTGCCTGCTCTGCTCCCCGCTCTGGTGAATTCTCTCACCCTCCCGCGCTTCTGACTGTACCCAGTGCATGTATAAACAAACAAACAAACAAACAAATAAATACAAATACAAAAAAAATTAAAAAATAAAAATAAAAATAAGATGACAAATAAAGCATATTGACAACGCCTAACTAGGCAATGGTCATTTTCTTAAAACATAATAATCAAAATTATGCTTCTTCTATTAATCATATCTTAAACTATACACACACACACATTTAAATCTAATGTGAAAATAAATGCATCTTAAATGTCTTCCAACCTATCAGTATAGTTTCTGAAATACAACTTATCCAAGTCTGGTTTAAAAAATAAATATTCAGTTCTCCCTATTTATCTTTTGAAGAACATCTTAGTTCATTTTATTAGATTATTGAAATGTGAGGCAGTTGCAAACCCTACTTGCTAAGTAGGAAATATATTGTTGTCCATTTCCCTTGCAGTTCCCAATGAAGTCGTTACTCCCAAACTAGGTGAAGGGGCTGGGTATTCACTGTCCAGCTGGGCTCCACACTGTCCAGACTGGATCTCTTGTTTTCACCTGCTTACCTCTGGATATCAGTTTACTTCACACATTTTAAAGTTCTGGCCAAATCTGTGTAAGGATGTTAACACTTTCTTTCCTCTCTCAACTACTTTTAGTTTTACAATGAGTGCAGTATATGACCCCTAGTTTGCGACTCCAAAAACAAAAGTTATTTAAAAGGATCACTTCTGTGTCATAATTTAAATCTTAATCCTAAATCATTCTAGTTTATTGTTAATGGGAAAACTTCAGTTTGATTGCAAAATCAAACTTAAATCTACTTCAGCGTGATTAATATTTTCAAAAGAGGAATCCAAGTCGAAAAGTTTGCAAAATGTTATAGCTGATTCCCTCTTACTAGAGAGAACAAAGATAATATTCAAGTTAATGAGAGAACAAAAGATACCATCTTTGAAAATTTACTGCTTTATGGGCCTTCCTGGTGGCGCAAGGGGTTAAGCACAGCACTGTGAAACTATCCACAGCCTCTGCAGCACGAGTTCGATCCCAGGCCTTCCAGGGAGCAACCCACATGGCGCAGCAGACCTCTCCTGTCTTGCCCGCTGCTCCCCTCAGCAGTGTATTTCAGTAGATCCGCCTATTCTGTTCCCCACTCTGTCTCTGGTGAATCCTCTTACCCCCTTCACCTCTGGCCTGTACCCCAGCTCTTGTATGCATAAATAAATAACTCTTTAGAAGAAAAAGAAAATTTACTGCTTTAAGCTAAATATCATTGGAAGGTGTGCAAAGAAAATAAATTGCACCAGTGTTACTCCATTAAGGAATATTATTTGGCTTTTGATTGATGAGTTGGAAGATGAGATCACAGAGGGTGCCAGGTACCTAACAGCTCAGTTTACTGTCCCTGCAGGTCACCTGTACCTGCCTTCCCTGTGTGCATTGGGAGACTGCTATGTGGTTTGTCAGCTACTCACTGTAGAGTTTTCAGCTCTTTGCCTGTTTAATCAGACTGCATCATGTTAAATATTTGATCTGTTTAAAGATTGATCCCAAATAGCTGGATTCCACTATGCCCTACACTTTGCATTGTTTTCGCCTCTGACAAATTAATGGATCACTAAAAGGAAGAGGGATTATCTTAAGCTATTTAACATGGGAAACTAGATACCATAGAAGGTTTCTTATCAAGGGGTCTATAGTACAGATAGGCAGATGGATAGATAGAGGAAGAGACAGATATGCAGATGATAGGGGAGGCAGGCAAACATGAATGCTTATTTTTTTAAAGATTTATTTATTTACTCATACAAGAACTAGGGTACAGGCCAAAGGTGTGGGGGGTGAGAGAATTCACCAGAGACAAAGTGGGGAATAGAACAGGCTGACTGACTGGAATACACTGCTGAGGGGAGCAGCGGGAAAGTCAGGAGAGGTCTGCTGCACCCTGTGGGTAGCTCCCTGGTGGGGGATCGAACTCGTGCTGCAGTGGCTGCGGATAGCTTCATAGGTTGTGTCTTAACCCCTTGCACCACCAGGGAGGCCCAAACATGAATGCTTCTTAAAAACACATTTACACTGGAGTTGCTTATAGGAAGTCATGGAAGACATCAGATGCAATATTCACATTATCTTCAATCTTTATAGATAGTGGGTGGCGATAAATATCAACTTAGGACCCCACCAGCTCACAAAACAAGCCAGCTAGAGTTAAAAGTCATCAGTCACATACATAAAATTTGAGATGTATAATGGTGATGGTAATTTATAATCAAGTGACCTTGTCAATGTTATTGAGTTACTGGTCCCGCACCTTGTAACTTAAACTCCTTTTAAATACCTGAAAACTAAACATAAAAATAATTAAGGAAACTTTTTTATTCCTAAATTAGATGTAAAATATGTTGAAAATAATGAATATTCTACCCACAAATATTTAAGAATATTCACAAAATAACGAATATGTTACCTCCGCTCAGCTAAGAAGAAATCTGGGTTTCTGATGACATGTTCTAAGGAAAATCTGTGACCATTTGCACCCAACTGAGCTTTGAGTTTGCTGAGCACCATTACACTCGTTTATGTCTGTCCCAGATAATAATGAGCGACCCTCATTTTATAATACATATTTCGATTCACATTGCTAAGAGGTAACATGTTTTCTAACTTTTGCTAATTGGAGATATTAATACCTATGCCAATCACCATGAAAATGTATTGACTAGAAAATGCTTTTTGTACCTCTTTGTTTTGGTATAGATTAGACATTCCCTGTTCACTATAACACTTTTATGGTCTAGTTTGACAGTTTCAACACTAGTACATTGACATAATGGTGTGTTAAAATAATCTGAGAGCTTCTAAAACAATACTGATGTCTAAGCCTCCCACTCAGAGATTTCGAGTTATTCTCTGCTGTGTGATCAATATTGAGAATCACTGGCATAACTAATGTTTTCAATTCTTAAAAACATTTAGCATAACCAACTTTCCATGTAATTGAACATTGTCAGTATTTTTATAAATTTCTAAGATTATGGTATATTAGTTATCTATTGCTACATGATAAGTTATCACCCTCTTACACAGCTTAACCTAACTCACATTTGCCATCTCACAGTCTCTGTAGGGCAGGAATTTGGACACCCTTCAACTGGATCCTTTGTCCTGAGTCTTACATTGCTGAATACAATGTGTCAGTGAGAGCTGGGGTCTCATTCCCCTGGGGAAGGGACTGCTTCCTCACTTGGGTGGTTGTTGGCAGCTTGGTGTCTTGTAGCTATAGAACTGAGTGCACCTGTTGTGCTGGCCATGGGAGGCTGCCCTGAGTGCCTAGTTCCTGTCATGAGTTTTCCACCATGACTCTTTGCCACCTCACAGTCAGCAGGAAAAGAGAGACTCTAGTAAGACAGGCACTAAAATTCTGTGTAAGATAATCAATACAGTCATGTACACATAATCAGGTATAGTCCATCCTCTTTGTTGTATTATGTTGACTAGAAACAAGTCAAGCTCCCACATACAAACAATGGAGAGAATAACAAAGGGTATGGACCCCCAGGGCGTGGGCCCCCCGGGGCAGAAAACATTCTGTTGGCCTCATAGAAGTAGAAGATATACAAACAGTAGCTCAAGATATGTTAGCATCAAAATTTAATGAAATTTTCATTAAAATACTTATACATAAGCATTTTACTCTATGCATACTCTATGGTCATTTTACTCTAAGCATTTTACTCTAAGCATAATTACTCTATGATGAGGCTACATAGTCCATGCTTTTAAAATAATTAACACCTACTTGCTCATTAAAATGAAATATGGACAACATTGCGTTTGCAAATCTAAGTGTGAAGGTTTAAGTGAAATCCAATCACGATATGTCTTTAGGATGGAGGCATGAAACTGTCATATATAAAAGTTATATTGACTTAGAAGTTAACTTAATGTTATACTACCTCTTGGTTTCAAATTCCCTGATGACATATATGGCATTGATATATGATATAAATGATACTAGGGTAGATTTTTGGTTAGGCTGACATTTACAGTTCAGATGTTGACTGACTGTATTTTCCCCTTCTCTTTTCTTTCTAGGTGTTATAGCAGTTGTGATATTTATCTTGCTCTGCTTCGCTGCCATAGCAATACGCATTTATCAGCAGAGATGGTTATACAAAAAAAATGAGTCAAATGTACCCCAAAATGCAGATAATGCTGAGACTTCTCTGAAAAGTGAGCTTAACCTGCAAAGTGCAGTCAATGAAAGCCAGAAGGAGTATTTCTTCTGATCCACTGCTGTGGGGTACTTGAGAGGAGGAGACTTGCTTGCCTAGCAGGGCCTTCCCTTGACCCCAGGATGGGTGATGGGTGTGGAGCATCACCAGCCACATTGTGACCAGCATCAGACACCGTCCTGGGAGGCTCTGCTCAGTGCTCCAGTGCTCCTTTGTCTGTAGAACCGGGTCTTCAGTGTGCTAATGAATCACTACTGAGAGTTTCTCACTGATCTTCTAAAATTGAAATATATTTTGCATAATGACTTGGTTTTAAATGAGAGCAAGAATTTGAGCTGTAGCCCTAGTCTTAAAAATACAACACAACAGATTATGAAAGTCAAAGTTGAAGTTGGACTCTAATGCTTTGTGTTACATGAAGTCTAGGCTGTGGTGCTTTATCAGTTCCCGGCTGACATTTGTGAACCAGAATGTGCTTCCTAGAGGGCTTCAGCAGGGTTTCCCTCTTCCTGTGTACCAGAGCCCAATAACCAAAAATGCATTAGAAACCTGGAGAAAAGGTTTTCTTTTTTTAATTATTTTTTCTTTTAAATCAATTTGGATACATTTTAGTCATGAACTAAGTATTGAATGTCAGCTATGAAATTCTAGTATTCAGTTATGGAATAGAAAATTCATAGGTAGCAAAATGTGTAAAGGATTCCAATCTATAGTAATTTGCTCTTTTGTCTTTGTAATTTGTCATTTTAGTCTTTGTAAATTATAATAATGATAGCCTATGACTCACAAAATTGCACATTTTCTAACTAAACTCATGCCCCCAGATATGAATTTTATGCTTAGCACTATAAATACATCCTGTATCCTTTCATCTGAATGAATTTTTTTCTCTTTAAATATGGGTTATTGATTCACTTTTATTTGTAGTACTATGACTTTTTTTTATTTCTTAGGGAAAAAGTTACATTTTCAATGGAAGTTCTCCATTTCCCTTTTTAAATTTTTAACTGATTTAGGCAAAATAGTCCTTGTATTATCACTTCCTCTAGTCACTATCTGGAATATCAGTGGGAGAGGGAGGGAAAGGATGAGGGATGCTTACACTTAGGAAGATGCAGATTATATAATCTGAATTTAGTTTGTAATTTGAGTCAAGATTCTAGGACTTTGGGATCAGTTTCCGATAGAGTAGAACATATCAACTAGTTCACTTTATATTGGGGCATATTTGCATACTAGGAGAGCAAAGAACTCATACTATGAAATTGTTCCAGTTAACTACTTTTGTGGTTATCACTCGATAATTTTACGGAGTCATCATTTACACTCAATACCCAACTATTTTTAAAACTGTGCTGCACACTCCATATCCCACCCAACACAGGTTAATTAGATTACATACTGTGACCACAACAGGACCAGTTGGAACTATGTATATTTTAGCCTTGGAGGGCACACCTACTTTTCTGTGTCTTTTTTAAAGAATAGAAAAGATTTCCCCTATATTGTCTTTCTCCAAAAAAGTTTTTCTTACAGTATCATATGAGTTTTCTATGAGGTGTAACAAACTGCCAGAAATATAATGGCTTACTACAACACACATCTATTGTCTCACAGTTTCTGTTGGCCAGGAGCTGTGCCTAGGTTCACTGGATCTTTTACAAGTCTGCCGCCAAGGGTCAACCAGAGCTGTGTTCTCATCTGGAGACTCCCAGCTAAGGCAGGATTTTTCTTCCCACTCCATGGTGATTGACAGCATTCAATTTCATAATTCTAGAGGATTTATGAAAGTTTGCTTCTTCAAAACTAGCAAAGGAGAGAGGAACTTTAGAGTAAATCTGTTTGGAAAACTTATATAAAATCTTATTGAATAGAAGTGACATCCATTGCCTTCTCCATATTCTGTTGGTTAGAAGCAAGTCATAGGTTCTGCCCACATTCAAGGGGAAGGATCTGAACCTTTGTTGAGATTATGGGGACTTTAAGTTTCATCTGCTATATCACTGTATCTATATTGATGTTTATCTGAATGAATAATGAAGATGTTTGGGTTCTCAATATAGTAGTATATAAAAGGCTTGCCTTGGTGAATGAAATAAATACATATTCACCAAAGGCTTATATAGATTGGGGAAGGATTCAAAAGGAAAATAGGGTTTCTATTTAATGCATATTTGAGTATAAGCATAAAATTACTGCAGCTTTAACCAGTGATCATCTTATGTTCCAAAAGAATACATCACTTTGGTAGCTGGGATTTTACATATTTATAGATGTGAAATCCACTGCGTTTTGCTCTCCTCTCTAAAAAGAGGAAATATTTGTACCAAATTGAAGTGATGCATTGTCCACTTTCCCTTACTGATTTGTAAACTTTCCTGCTTATTTGTTAATAAAGTAACATTTTTTGAATTAAATTAGGAAAATATTTTTAAGAGAGTTGAATGGAATTATATTGTTTTTCCCCTAAATATTAAAAAATGTACAAATGTATACTTTCTGTAGTGGTGGGTGTGTTACTTTATCCACATTGTATATATATAGAATATTATAACCTATAAACACTCTTTATGATGGTATATAAACAGAACAATAGTGTTATATACTGGTATGCCGAATCTCAGACACAAAGTTAAACACAAAGCAGGTAAATATTTAATGATTATAAGCTACAATGCCTATGAAAGTAAATATTTAAACCTTTGCAAGAGTAGAATAATTGAATAACCAATGAGTCATTTTTTGAATGTTTACTATATCCACAAAGTTGGGTTTTCCCCCAGAGAGTTTGGTTAGTGGAGCAATAATTAAATATAGAGATTTTGATTGTCAATAACATCCTTCTATGAAATAAAAGTTAAAAGACAATCCCAAAGTTTTATGTTTAGAAAAAATAGCACATAATTAATGTTAAATGTTGGGATTAGAATTTAGGGACTCTCTTTATTCCCTCATGAAGTAAAACACACTGGATAACCTCCCCAGTAATATTTAGCATAGTGGGATATTTGTGTTCTGTATTTCTAGAAAAACCACACTCCAAGAACCTTTTTTCACAGTCTTTTATCTAAAACATTTACTAGAAAGAACATTTAGTTTCAATGGATTTTTTTTTAAAGAACTTTTATTTTCTTACATGTTGATCTTTTCTTTTCTTTTTTTTTTTTTTTTAAAGATTTATTTATTTATTCATACAAGCACTGGGTACAGTCAGAAGCACGGGAAGGTGAGAGAATTCACCAGAGCCAGAGCGGGGAGCAGAGCAGGCAGAGGGACCGAAGTACACTGCTGAGGGGAGCAACGGGCTGGCGGCAGGAGAGGTCTGCACGCCATGTGGGACCCTCCTCTGGTGGCCGGGGAGCAGCCGGGGATTGAACCGGCGCTGCTAAGGCTTCGCGCAGCTTCGCAGCCCAGCGCTCAACCACTGCGCCACCAGGGGAGGCCCTCAATGGATTTTTAAGAAAATATGAAATTCATGGTCCTTGTCCTAGAAGAAGAAAAATATGATTGAAGCACTTTTTTTAAAAGGTTTATTTTATTTATACAAGAACTGGGGTATAGGCCAGATGCGCAGGAGGGTGAGAGGATTCACCAGAGACAGAGCGGGGAACAGAACAGGTAGACTGACTGAAATACTCTGCTGAGGGGAGCAGCGGGCGAGACAGGAGAGGTCTGCCGTACCATGTGGGATTCTCGCCTGCCGGCCGGGATCAAACCCACACTGCAAAAGCTGCGGACAACTTCACAGTGTGGTGCTCAACCACCTGCGCAACCAGAGAGGCCCTGATTGAAGCACTTTTTATCCAGTATAAATTAGCCCTGACAATGCAACTAAATTATCAAAATATTCTTCAAACAAGGAGGATGAAATGGATATATGTTAAATGAAAGCTTGTCTATTTGGTTGCTTAACCTATTGCTTTGCAATCTATGCACTAAAATTTTTAAAGATACCCTTCGCATCTCGAATATATCCTAGCTCCCTCACATTTCCCTAGTGTGACTCATGATTAGAAGAAAGGATGAGAAAGTAATGAAACATTTTGCAAAGAAACAGTTGGATTTTGTGTGTATGTGTATCCACACATTCACAAGGGTTAGGACATTAATAATTTTGTGCAGATTAAAAGTAACTTACTAGTTCAGATGAAACATTTTGGGCTACCTAATTTTATGTACAATTACTACCACTTTTTGAGAGTATGAAAGTATTTATAAACACTGGTTTAACAAACAAGTTCAGAAAATCAAGTTTTTATTATTAAAACAATGATTCCCATTCTCAGAATTAAATGAGATTTCCAGTTGGCAAGGAAATTAAATATCCTGCCAGCTGATAGTCTTCGCTCCCCTCAGACTCTCTAAGCATGTCTAAGTCACTTCTTATAGGGTAACATCTTGTCTTAGCATAGATATTCATTAACTTATGATGGGACTCCAGATCTTGATAAATCCTTCACAATTCAAAACACTATAAATTGAAAATGCATTTAATATACTTAACATATCAAACCTCATAGCTTAGTCTAGCCTAGTATAAATGTGCTCAAGACTTATTATATTTACCTTCAGTTGGGCAAAATTATCAAACATAATGCCTATTTTGTAATAATGGATTGATATCTCATGTAACTTATTAAATACTATGTTGAAGGAACAAAACAGAATGCTCAATTTCAAAATTCAAAGTATGTTTTCTTTTTTTTTTATAGAGGCATGTTTTTATTTATTTATTTATTATATTTGTTTGTTTGTTTTGTTTATACATGCACTGGGTACAGTCAGAAGTGCGGGAGGGTGAGAGAATTCACCAGAGCCAGAGCGGGGAGCAGAACAGGCAGAAGGACCGAAGCACACTGCTGAGGGGAGCAGCGGGTGGCAGGAGAGGTCTGCGCACCATGTGGGATCCTCCTCCGGGGCCAGGGAGCAGCCGGGGATCGAACCGGCGCCGCAGAGGCTGTGGGCAGCTTCGCAACCAGCGCTCAACCGCTGCGCCACCGGGGAGCCCCAAAGTATGTTTTCTAATGAATGCATATCACTTCCATGTCATCATATAATCTAAAAAGGAAACCACTCAAATTATAAGATTAAAATAATGTTTATGCCCCTTGTTGGGGTATCATTTAACAAAATGCAAATTTAGTCTCTGCACTTTGCTCAGATGAACATTGCAAAGAGATACAAGTAGATAAGAAAGAGAACCAACAGAGTTGCCAAGGGAACCTGGTCATGGCCCACTTGACCAATAAGGTTATGTCAAGAATTCCAGGCAAACAGAGCCCAGCAGGACCCCTCCTGTGAGACAGGCCCACCTATGCTGATGTCCCAGCAGAGAACAACTGGCAGAGATGGACTCTACCAGCGATGAAAAGGGATCCACCAAAACAAGTTATAAAAAGGACACCCAAATCCTTGGTGCTCAGACTTCTCCCATCTTGCATGCTGCCTTTTTAAAAAATATTTTATGTATTTTATACAAGAACTAGGGTACAGGTTTGAGGCACGGGAGGGTGAGAGTACTCACCAGAGACAGAGCGGGAAACAGAATAGGCAGACTGAAACCATTGCTGAGGGGAGCAGCAGGTGAGACAGGAGAGGTCTTCTGGGCCATGTGGGTATCTCCCTGGCTGACCAGGAATTGAACCCATACTACAGAGGCTATGGGCAGCTTCATAGTGCTGTGGACAGCTTCATAGCGCTATGCTGCGCTGCGCTGTGCTCAACCTGCTGTGCCACCTGGGAAGGCCCTTGCTACTTTTAGTAGTGCATTTCAAGAAATCCAACTGTTCTGTTCTCCACTCTATCTCTGGTGAATTCTTTCACCCCCAAATCTCCAGCCTCACTCTGGTATTCCTCCCCATTACACCACTTATACCCAAACAATGACAAAATCACTAACAATGTGGCTTACGTTCATTTTTATTCTTTTTAATATTTCTACTTTACTGAGATTATAGATGATGTCGATATGATAAGATGTAGTGAGTGGAGTCCTCTGACAAAAGTTTCAGCTGAGTTCTCCTTTTGGTGGCACATGGCAAGTTTACCCAAGAAAAAGACATTTGCATAGACACCAGCAGATGAGGATGACATTTTATTTATTTTTTTAAAAAATATTTATTTATGCATACAAGAACTGGGGTACATGCCAGAGATGCAGGGGAGTGAAAGGATTCACCAGAGACAGAGTGAGGAATAGTAAAGGCAGATTGAATGAAATACACTGCTAAGGGGAGCAGCTGGCAAGTCAAGAGAGGTCTGCTGTGCCATGTGGGTAGCTCCCTGGACAGGGATTGAATTCTTGCTGCAGTGGCTGCAGATAGCTTCATAGGTTGCATCTTAACCCTTGCACCACCAGGGAGGCATGAGGATTGCCTTTTAAAGAGTACAAGTTTATTAGAAAAAGGAGAAAGGAAGGCAGAGAGCTGCAGCTTTTGAAAGGAAAAGATTTGTGAAAAGATATGCCTGCATAGACACAGGTGCTGAGTGTCTTAGGATCAGAGCTGCATTTGCCAGGACAGAAATCATTCCAATATAATGTTCCTTGGGGGGTGGGAGGAAAGGGTTCATTTCTTTGTAAAATGGTTATCTATTGTTAAACCAATCATTTCTATGGGGTGATGGGGTTAATTTGTAAGGACAGGTGATTCTCTAATGGCCCTCAATTTCTATATCCTCCCCTCTGGCCTGCCCCTAGGAATATTTCCTTTAGCAGTTCAGCAGTATCCTAGGGATTTTTCATTTCTATAGCTGGTGTAATGACTATGTTAATCATTTCTACCCCCACACCTCCAGTCTCTAGCCTTTGTGAGTCCCCCATCATAAATAAATAAAAAGAAATTTAAAAAAATTATCTACTCTGAGCCTAACAATAGCAATACTTGTGTCCATACCTTCAAGGAGATTTAATAATTGGCTTCACCTGGAGTGAAAGACAGTTTCTCAGATTAGCCAGGAAGGAAACTTGATGCTGTTGGCCAGGAATTCTTGGTCACACACTGGTTGCTTCTTCCAGATGTTGTGATTCCAGATGTATAAGACTTCCTCTCACAGTCAAGGTTCATACGCCACTCCACACCAACCCCTTGGAACATGCCCCAGTCAGTGCATGCGCCACTCTATGAGTAGCCACCTAGTGGTTCCCTTACAAGGCATGGTGAGGGTCACCTTGGGACCCCCAAATTTGCCTGCTCTAGATAGGTTCTGCCATCCACCAAATTAAGACAAACATACTCCAGTGTGTAAGACCGTCAATAGAAAGGATCTTAAGTACAGTTAGTGTGTGATAGAGAGAAGAGAAAGAATATAGTTAGTGGTTTCCAATGAAACACCCAAAGTTACCCATCCCCTCAGAGGTAAATGTCCAGCCAAACAGGGTTGGCCCAAAGCAGG